GTTTTCTTAATTTCATTTTAGGATTCTTCATTGCTTATAGAAATACAACTGAGGGAGTTCCCTAGTGGCCTAATGGTTAGGATTCCAGGCTTTCACTGCCATGGCCTGGGTTCAATCCCTGATCAGGGAACTGAGATCCTGCAAGCTGTGTGGTCAAAAAAACCCCAAAAACTGATGTGTTGATTTTTGTATCCTGCAATTTTGCTGAATTATTAGCTCTAATAATTTATATTCTATATCACATCCACTGCCAATGTAGTTTTACTTCCTCCTTTCCAATTTGGATGACCTGATGTTTTATAATGTCTGAAATTTTTGCAAGTCAATTCCTACTCATGGCACTATGTTGCTTTGTAATTTTCCTTTCTGATTTTTAACTGTGAACTATCATTGAGTCCCTGCAGAGTATTTGTTTGCTTCCGCCAGCACTGGGTTGCTCTGATTTGGAACTTTAAAAAATAAACCTTCTGCTTGGGTTTTCTCAGACTACCTATGTAGTAAGATTTAGGGCTACAAATCTTCACAAAGGCCAAACTATTATTACATATTCTGAGAGAATACTCTCCTGCCACAGAGCATCAAGATTCAAGATATGCAAACTCCTCATCGTATGTATTAAGGGTGGGTTTATCCTGTTTGAACACCACTCTTTGGATGCATTCTGGGCTTTGCAAAGGTCATGAAAATACATCTCATTGGTTCTTCAAGTGTGTTCAAGATGAAAGCTAGTTTCTGATTATAGTCAGCTTCCTGTTTTAATTTGGTTTTGGCTTGAGAGTACTTTCTTTCTTGACAGATTTTTTTTTAAAACACATTTTTTAAAAGTGTTTTTTCCCACCATGTTTAGTTGCTTTTTCACAGGAGAGATGGTCAGTGTAATCGTCTATACTGAAATGTCCGTCCACTCACTGAGGTGGCCTTTAAGTCAGTCAAGGTTCCATTAATTATTTTTCTATAGTATACTGAAGTTTTTGGTTTTTGTACTTTTGGAGTTAAAGAAAAACAAGGAATACTTTTGGCAAAGCCTAATATTTAGCTCATAGTCATCTATTAAATATCTGACCACCTAACAATGTGCCAGGCAGTCACCTAAGTCATGTAGGGGAACAAAACAAAAATCCTGTTCTTACAGAGCTTACACTCTGGGGTGAGGTTGGGGAGTTAACAGTAAATATTACATTTAAGGTGGGTATTACAGAATATGCCACAGTGCACTCTATAGTGGCGGTGCTGTGCTGGTATTTTATATAGAATAGTTGAGAAAAAAACACTGATGGGTTGACATTTGAACAGAGACTTAACAGGGAAGAAAGAGCTGTACTTTATCTTTGATAATTCCAGATAAAGGGAAGAACAAGGGAAACATCTTGAGGTAAGAAAAAGCCCGCTGTGTTCAAGCCTCAGCAGAGGCCTGTGTGATGGAGCTGAGGAAGTTGGTGGGGAAGAGTGATTAGGGAAGAAGTTAATGTGGTGGGAAAAGTCATTCCAGCCTGTAAATTGCTTTTAGGATTTTGGCTTTCGCTCTGAATGAGGTGAGAAACCATTAGGTTTGGAGCAAAGCGATAACACGATCAGATATGGTTTAAAAGGAATATGCTGGCTGCTGAGTGTGGGATAGATTACTGCAAAGTAAAAAGCAGGGACACTACTCAGGTTATTGCAAGAATCCAAGAGATGATGTAGATTTAGACCACTGTGACAGCAGTGAATATGGTGAATAGGTAGATTCTGAAAAAAAAAAAAATTAGGTAGAACTGACAGAATTGCTGTTTAATTTGGAAGTGTGAGAAATCAAGGTTAATGCCTAGGTTTGGGGCCAGTGCAACTAAAATGTTTGTACTTACTGAGGACAAGAAGAGGTAGGGGCGTGTGTCTGCATGTAGAAATCAAGTCAGTCATCCTTTAGACAGCCAGATGGCGTGATGAATAGGAAGCTCCTGAACAGGAAGTTCAGGAGAAATGGCTGGTAGGTCAACATATCACAATGGTTAACTGTGTTCTTAAGCAACTAGGGCATGAAAGTACTTCATTGTTTGGCCTTACTTGACAATACTCAAACTTGATATGGTAAACAAGGAATCGAGGTTACATAGAGGCTCAGACAATAGTAAGAATGAAAAGTAGTTATTTCATAAAACCATTTTCTACAATACAGAAAAAAATTAAGAGGGCTTTAAAAATTTTTTAAATACATAATTTCATCCAGAAAGTGTACAACTTGGGAAGAGATTATCGACAACGGAATGTTAAAACAACATATTCCATGTAAAAAAGCAACTATCAGGAACACTGTGTACCAGAGTTATTCATTAAAAAATTCTTTAAAATGAGGCAAAGAAAGGAACTAGTAGTTTAACAGAGTATCAGGAAAGAATGCAAAATATTGGTTAATTACTGGGGACCTGAAAAAAAACACTCGGCTAACTGCAATCTTCCTAGTCTTCCTAGAACTTTTTGACCTTTCAACACAAGTTCTTCCATAACTTTTATTTTGGAGGGGGAGGGGCTGTCATGTCTTAAAATTCTGGTCCAAATACCCTGTTTATTTTTCTGTTATATTGGGAGAGTAGAAAGTTTTAATAGCTACCTTAGGGTACGTTCAGTATCTTCTAAATTCAATGAAGACTGCTAACACCCTTCACATGACATCTTACGTTTTCAAACCACCTCCCACAGCCCCCCAAAAGTTGCTTAGGCCACAGAATGAGACCAGGGCTCAAATCCTTGTTCAGCTAGGTTATCTAGCCAACACTTAGCAGGAAAACTCTTGCACCTGGTTACTCATTTTAACTACTACTTGGCTACTGGCTGAAATATGCATACCCAGAATAAAGTTAGGTCTTAGTTATAAATTTGAATGTCACTGGGTTAGACTGTTACTCAAATTAGTTCACTGTAGGATGTTAATAAATCTTATTAAGTAAACATGTAAATCAACCCACAGTATTAAAAGTACTATGAATTTGTCATTGTTAGAAATGTAATACTTGGGCATACAATATAACAAGTTCTCTTACAGCCATGAAACATCAAGAGTAAAATGAGTAAAATCATCATAGGGTCGGAAGTATCACTGCCATAGTCTACTACAAAGGAGAACTAGGAACAGCCTTCACCTGGATGGTTTTTCAAAACAGGCCACTGGGTACCATTCCATAGTTTCTCAATCAGTGGCCTGGAGTGGGATCTGATAACTTCCGTTTTAGAGAACTTCCCAAATGATACTGATTATTGCTGGTCTTGGGGTCACGTTTTGAGAATCACTGTCCTAAATTCTTTACAGACCATAGTTTTTGTTATAACTGTAAGAAATTCAAAAATAGAACTCACACACAGTATTAAAGTGTGGATTTCATGTTAGCTGGAATTACCGAGTTAAGACCAGAGTGTCTTTAAACACAGACTTTAATGGTAACAATCCTTTAAGCTCTATTAACCTTAGCTATTACAAGTGTTATGCAGATGTCACTATTAGACAATATTTAGTGACTTGCACTGGGTTCCTCATAAAATAGAGACAAATTCACTTAAAACTGTAATCAACAATCATTTAACAGTTTTGTTATGCCAACACAAAACATGGCTAATTTGAGTCACTTCCAAAATCACTAACACAGCATGATCAGTATCTGAAGTATGTCAACTAAGCCATTAAAAAAAAAAAAGTGAGTGTTTCACTACCCCTGAGACCACCAGTTAACTGTGGTTCATACTTTAAAAAACTGTGAGTACACCCACACAAGAAAGCAGAGTAGTAAGTTATTTTTTTTCTTTTAAATCTGATTATCACATTGCAAACCTGCCCAGGAACAAAAATGAGTCACTTAAAATATAATTTATCATTAACAGCTCAACTGGACTATAATCCCCATAGGTTAAGAGAAACTTTAAGTATTTAAAATCTGAGTTATGCATTAAAAGACATAGGAAACAGGAAGAACCAAAATCAATTTTTAATCTAACGATCACTTCAGTCCTATACATGGCACTAGTAATATATATGGGGGCGGGGGAGGACAAATTCTTGGATTCTTTTGAAGGTTTCATTGCAGATGATCTCAAGTCCAGTGTTCATACATTCAAAAATGTTGGTTTTCCAGGTACTTTACTGTTCTCTTAAACCTGGAGAAGCCTTTATGGCTTATTCCCTTAGAAGTGACATACGAAATATAGAAAGCATCAAGTCAAAGATACAGAGAACTGGACACATCTACTAATCATTATGACAATAGTTTAAGGAAGTCATCTCTATAAACACTTAAGGGCTGTCTATGGCTAAAAAGGTCAATTTGAAAGCCAATTAGGAATCCAGAAGCTCTGACAAGTATGTTTTATTCGTGGTTGGCTTTTAAGAAATGATATGCCTACTATAAAAGCTGTTATTTTGAGGGAATCTCAGTATTTATTCTAAAAATAGAGCCAAAAAAAGTTTCTTACCTTGTGGAGAGGTATGTTACTAATTTCTCATTTGTACTTTGAATCCAACAGTTTTAACAGTATGACATCTACCCTTGAGTTATTTTTAAAGCAAAAGATAAAACGAAAAATTCACTCATTGGAAAATTGTATAACTGGATTGATATTTCTCAATGAAATGCTTATTACAGAATTAACAAAGCCAAAACATCTTCGGAAGGCATGCATTTCACTTTCAGTTTAGAGAAGAACCTTAAGTCAATAAATCATGTCCAAACTACATATTAAAATGTTTATAAAAATCAAGCTTTAACATTTATTTTATGTCTAACTTTCCACATCTGTGCGCAGACAAGGAATAAGATTGCACATAAGTGTAAGCAGTGCAAAAATGTGGAAGTGGAAAAGTCACAGATGTGCTAGAAATTGAATACAGGACTGTAAGAAAGCAATGGACAAATCAAAATAACTAGGAAAAAGTAATAAAACTATAGGGTCAGAATTAGGAAGGGTGAAGAATGATAATGCCCTTGTTACTACAGAAGTTAAATAAGTGGCACAGATAGCACTTGTCAAACAAAAAATAATCCAATAGCATTGACTTTTATTCATTCATGTTAAGTCACCTGAAATGATATCTGTTGCATTTAAATGCTCATTAATGTAAATGGCTGAACAAATTCATTTTAATGGATACTCACTCCATTAAAAAAAAAAACTCAATATCCCACATAGTTAAGTCACTTCAACATAGCCTTATGACAACTCCCACACCAAAACAGTACTTTATTTTGTAAATTTTGACCCATTATTACTCCCATGTTATGGTTTTTTCAGCTGTCAAGTGTACAAGGTGAAGAAAAAATTTAGTTAGATAGGGGTTGCACCTGGAAAATAAATTTCTTAAACTCCATATACACGTTTCAAAACTGCTGGGTCCCAAGTCCATCAATGAACTCCCGGGCTGCCAGTATCATGTGCAGCATACTAAAGCTACACTATCTGAATAGCTTATTAATTCTGCATAAATCAGGTCAATCAATGTGTCAACCTGTAACAGACTGCACACTTTTAACTGAACATGGCAAAATATTCACTCTCTAGAACTTTACATCATCATTTGATGTCAAACAATGAAGCAAATCCCAACAGTATATACAAAAAACAGCTTTGCATTTACAAAAGATTGTTTCCCATACTGATTAATCCAGGCAGCTAACTCATTGGTTTATGCAACTTTATTGAAGAAAAATAAATCAATTACTAGCAGAGCTATTAGTTGATCACTCATCCATTGACAACTTGCATCATTTATTCAGTGCTATATTAAACAGTGTATTGGAAGATAGATTAACTAATAGCTCCAAGCCTCCTAACAATTTAAATGAAAATTACAAAACGTTTGAGACCCTATTTTGGAATACAAAGGGTGTTTGACTTCCAATTTCCATTCTCTGTAGAACAAGAACAGGTCATTCCTTTATTGACATGCATAAAATACATCACATTTTCTGTTCTGCTGATGCTATAAATTCAATACCAATTCTCCAGCCACATCAGTTATGAGCATAAAGTATATCATGTAACCTCAAATCTCTAACAGTGGAAGGCTTACACAAGAATGGATGCTGCTAGAATAATGCTGCTTCCCTTGATGTGGCAACTGAGCATCCATCTCCCTCCCCCTCTGATGATTCTTCAGCATGTTAGAGCAGTGAGGAATGGTTTTAGTCTCATAACCAAGTTAGAGTGAAGACATTGGCCACATAATACACATGCTCCATTTTTTTTAAAAATTCTGAATCTTGGGCAACTGTTCTCTTGTAACTACTTTACAGTTTCTAAAAGCAGTTATTGTCCAAAGCTGGAAGAACTTAAGTCTTCTCAGATGAGCATGTGAATGAATGGAGGGAGGTAAACAAAAAATAAAATTAAAAAAGATGAGGTCTGATAGGGGAGCAGCCGGATAAGAAAATCAAAAAAGGAACAGTAATTTAAAGTTTATTCCAGCTATAATGCAGGTTATTCTGACTTTAAGGTAGCATCACATGGCATACTTCTGAGTCCATTCCCGAGATATTCTGTTGTACCTGTAAATAAAAAAGATGTTATTTAAAAAGTTAAAATAATTTTTAATACTTAAAAGGGAAGGAAAGAATCTATTTTACCTCTAGACTCACCAGGGAGTCACCTTTAATGGCTATGATTAGAATAAAGCCAACAAGGAAGAAAAAGCACTGATACTCAAAGCAATGTAGGAAACGAGAACTTTATGCTTCAATACAATGTCCTAATACACTGAAAGTAGTATTTTAATAAAAACATAGAATGGCTAACAAAAATCAAAGACCTTTTCTGTCTCCTACCACTGAGCTAATGTTCTATTAGAAACTCTACAACTAGTATCCATTCCAACAAATTTTAAGATTTAAAATTTTTTTTACAATTCATCAGAACAGCAGATTCTGTACATCTATAGCAATTTCCATTAAACCCAGACCAAACAATGAACTAAAACATTTTTATCTGAATCCTAGACTTTGAAAAGTTACTTGACCCTGGATATTACCAAAAGAGAAAATGCCTTTGAGACTTCGGCACAGGCAGAAAAGTCAGTCACTGGGTAAGGTGATAAAAGAGCAGTAATTTTCAAGACGAGGTGGGTGTGTCATGTGTTAATCAAAACCACGTGTTACTTTTAAAGTGTGGTGATTGGCGCTAACAAGCCCCACTTGAGGCCTGATGAATGAGACTCTGGAGTACAACTGGGGGCATTTTTGTTTTAAAAGAGCAATAGGTAATTCATACCTGAGCAAGGTTATTTATTACTGAGGAAGATCACTAATACTGATAAAATGCTATCAATTTCTCCTTGTATTACAACCATGCCCCAGGCCACTTACCCGAACAAATAATGAAGTGATAACTTTAAGAAACAAATATATAAAAGGGCATAGGAGAACTTTTGATTTATATTTACAGTTTGACCTCTATAAAACATTAACTAACTTCATTTCAAACCGAGAACTAAACGTAATTCAACCATTTTTCTAACTTTAACATATAAAAATTCTTTCCTCCAATTCATGGTTACTTCATTTAAGGATACCTCTTGTAAAGCCAGCACTTTAAAACAAAGGTTTTTATTTAGCATACGGGGAGCCACAAAGTATAGCTGACACTAATGCATGCTTGTCAGTAATGAACATTTAGTATAGATGGTGAGGCTTAAAAGTGGTTCTCCCTTACATTGTTATCTCTTGGCAAAATTTTAACCAAGTTACCACATTCCATATAGTACTGAAGTTTAAAATATACCAATTTTAAAGTTAAAATTTAAATACTGTAGTAGTTTGAAAAAGAAACTAAAATTTTCTTTTCTTACTGGTGCTAGGTAACTGGTTTGCCATGCAAAAATACTCTCAAGCAATAATGACTATTGGGTATACTTTCACGCTAAACAGAGATCAAGCAGTTAAATGTACAGTTTTCAGAAAACTGCCACATCTGTTACCTTTTGTTAGTTAATACAGTGCCTTAACGCATGCAGCACTCAAGTGCTGGCAGTACCATGAATAAGCGCACCATAGAGTGCAGATCCTCTTACCCTACAACATAGCGTATTTCTCTGTCCACTCTCTTGCTAACCTATTGTACCTAATTGAACAAGTATACTTAGCATTAATTATAACATACAAAAGTTATAATGGTAAAGTTGTACATACATAAAGAATTCAATATATAAAAAATTTAGACCAAATTTTTACAACAGTACCGATATTTTTTTTCAAAAACATAATTGGGGTGAAGAAAAAATACCTTTCTTCCTCAAAACAAAGTGACAAAACGTTGAACATGTTAGAAAAATGAAACATTTTAGATGGGCTATTTATTGCTACATAAACCAAAACCTAGTAATTAAAAAAAAATCACATTTCAGTAACTGGCTTTCTGCACATTCCAACTATCATCTTACCAGATATAAGCATCAAGTCTTCTTGGCGTTGCCCTGACGACTTACAGCAAAGTATAAGCCTAACTCATTAAGAAAAGCCACTTTTTATACTGTTTTCTTAAACTAGTACATACTTACTTATCTCTGTCTGTTTTATAGATCCGTGCAATCTCTGGCACTAGGGGGTCATCTGGGTTTGGATCACATAGCAGTGAACAAATGGATAAAAGAACTGGAAGAAAACAAATGCCTGTTACCCATCATCAGGAATTTGGATAAATACAAGTATTTAAAAACATGTATTATAAACCTCAATCTTCAAAAGATTTTTATTAGTTTATATCTTAATCTCCGTAAGACAAAACTTTACAGAGATTCTGCTTTATAGGAGACAAGTTCCTGGTAGGTAAGAAATACAAAAAATAGATCTTTGCTGGCATCAAGTTTACTGATTAGCTATAAAAATCTGCCAAAATCAGGGGTTCTAAGGCAGTCAAATGATGCCATATTAGTTTATATTACTTTTTTTTTTTTGCCGTGCTGCAAGCCATGTGGGATCTTAGTTCCCCAAACCAGGGATCGAACCCGTGCCCCCTGTAGCAGAGTTCTAACCACTGGACCACCAGGGAATTCCCTGTATTACTTTTTAAAATAAAATGGTATAAGAATTTAAGTAACTGGAGTTTCTTGGTACTCTGCAGGGTGGGGGGACCTTGAATAAAAATATCTGGGGAACATCTGTGCAGTATTATTCTTAGCTGTTTGCCATGATAAAAAAATCCACTTTCTGTCCTGCTCTCGAGGGAGTTTCACAGAAATTCACAACTGCCCCCACTGACTGTATGTTTTGTCTTCCTGAATTTATAAGGTAGAGACCATATCACAAAAGTACTGGTTAAATTTAACAACGCCAAAATCTAGTGGGCCTTCAACTCTAGCTCTTACCCTGTCCTGTTCAAAATATCAACTTAAAAGATACCAAGCATCATGCCAAGCATCATGGAAGATGTACCTAATTCCTTCTAAATGTCTGTTATGTGCCAGACACTGTGCAAGGTTTTTATAAAAGTTTAAGATATATAAGCTTAAAGTGGTCAAAAAACAACATTATTATCGCACATATAATTTTAAACCCAAGTGTGGGGGCAGATATAAAACTAAACCCACATTTATAGAAAAAGTATTCAGTATTACAGTGCATTCCCAACGATGGTTAAAAAAATAACCTGGAACCTAGTATTAAAGCTTTCTTAATACCAGATATCTGGTGTTAAGAGAGCCTGATCTGAAAAGAAACTTCAATGTATCCAAGAGGGTGAAAAATAGGCCTAAAATTATGCCTCACTTAAAAGAATTACAGCAGCATTCACCCAAATTGTTTTTCTTTCTCCCCGCAAAAAGTATTTCCTATCAAATAAAATTTTGGGAATGCTACACAGTCCCTTTAAGGAGATTCAAAAGCACTGTACAAGCATATGAGAGGCTTTATGATGTCCTGCCTTAAAAAACAAATGAACAGGGGCTTCCCTGGTGGCGCAGTGGTTGAGAGTCCGCCTGCTGATGCAGGGGACACGGGCTCGTGCCCCGGTCTGGGAAGATCCCACATGCCGTGGAGCGGCTAGGCCCGTGAGCCAGGGCCGCTGAGCCTGCGCGTCCGGAGCCTGTGCTCCGCAACAGGAGAGGCCACAACAGTGAGAGGCCCGCATACCGCAAAAAAAACCCCCAAAACCAAAAAACAACAACAAATGAACAAACAAAACCAGTTTCACTTTGCATTTACCATACTCATAAAAATAAAACTTTTGGTAAAACACAATTAACTATTTCAAGAAGCAATAAGTAAGTACTCAGCCAGAAATTGAGAATGCTTCGAGTCAGCTGCTATCCTCAAATATCTGAAATAATGTCATAATTAGCAACCTTAAAAACTAATTTTGTGTACTAAGGAATGCCAATACTCCAAAACTGAAAATTACTAAAAGGCAGACTTCCTTCCCATTAAGTAGTTTTGTGTTAGATGATTTTATTTGTGGGGTAAAAGCGACATAAAAGCCACCAGAGTCATTCAAAGAGTAAGAGATGGAGAGACACTCCATCTCCATCTGGGATATTTACATGGAGACTGGACAACCTATTAAAGATGTCACATAATGGATCCCTATTAAAGTAGAAGAGCAGAATTTATCTACAGCCCTTCCCAAGACTACACATTTTAGACTATTATTAGGTAGGAACAACCTACCATGATCACAGAACACCTAACTAAAGGTTTTTAAAAAAGGATTTTTTATCTAAAAAATAATAAACACAGGAAAGCAAAATCACAATTTTTCTGTGAGAAAGCTCAAGTTTCAAAAGCTCTATGAACTTTTGGTATATCATTTTAGCTAAAATTTAGGCGACGAGTGAATGAGATGTGCAGGTGGCTTGGGACTGAAAAATACTGTAGAAATCAATTTGTTCCTTTTCCCACCTTTATCAAAAAGTTGTCATTATAAAAATACTCAGAAAAGTAGGCGCAAAAATGAAACTCCTTTAACTATTAGAAAATCAGCCTCTCAAGACTTTCTCTAAAACTATTTTACCTTTAGAAATAGTTAAAGCAGGAGACCACTGTGATCTTAGAATATCGAGACAAATGCTGCCATTACTGTTAATATTTGGATGATAAATTCTTGTTGTAAATGCAACCTAAAAACAAAAACAAAAAAAACTTTAGGTATTTTTCCCAAATAAAAACAAGCACCCTAAACTTTGGCAGAAGACTTTAGCAAGACTCAAAATACTGTTAAAATTCTAAAAAATCAAATAGCTAAAACCTAATTAATACACCTAAAAGGACCAAATATTACAGAAACTGTTTTCTATATTCTGACCAAGATCCCTCAGGGGCTCTCCTATTTTTAATTAAAATGGAAAATACAACTCTGGGGCAAAAATTTTATTGTCAATGATATGGTGGGCTGTTCTGAAGGTTAACTTTTGGCCCTACCATATCATGAGTATCAAAGAGCCATTTAAAGGGTATTTAACATTCACTTAAAAATAAGAAACTTCCAGATGTAAACCAAAACACCCAGGCCAGCTCATTTAAGGCATCGAGTTACAAAGGTATGTATTTGAGCCTCCATTTCCACTGTACATAAAAAACACAAATTTGAATATCACAAAGGCACTTCATCTAAAATAACTGTCATATGCACCTATAATTGTGAAGATAGTTTTAGTGAAGTGCCAATGTTCTATATATATTATCTTCCATAGTTATTCATATAGAATGAGTTTATCTCAATGGCTCGAAAAGTTAAGGACCACATGCTTTTAATACCTATAAACCAGTCACCCCAGTGCATTAAGCAACTCTTGAGTTTTGATAAATTTACTGTTACGTGTGCAAGCTCAAAGCCCAAAATGTATTACAGTCTGTCTAAACCCCAATACAAATACGTATAATTTTTAGCAACATGTGAAAATGCATACTGAAGTTGGATATTTGGAAGCCTAGTATTATAAGACACTAGGGTAATAATCCAAATCTGTATAAGCACAATAAAGGGGAAAATAAAAAAAGCTTTCACATGGTATATTTGAGCCTTGCAACATTAAGGATACGGCAATTCTCTTACACTTACAAAGTTCAAATCCAGATTTAGCTGCTCTTTTAACTAAAGGTTAAGAGTCAGCATTCAACATCAGTGATTCAACTCAATATATACATTCAGCCTCAATTATTCTTATTCACTATACATTCATATCAATTTAACCTTGACTTACACAGAACCCTAATTTCTAAGAATTAGAAATTCTTATTTTTGGAATAGAACACAAATCTATACTCACAAATTTGGAGGGGAAATACTTGCCTTAGGTGGTTTGAAGGGGTAGTCTGTAGGAAAATGAATTGTCAAAAAGAATACACCACCTTGATATGGGCTGTCATTCTGTGAAAAGAAAAATATGCTTAACTCTATTTTAAATGTTACTGCTAGATAATTCATGTAACATTTCTATTTTCTAAGCATTTCTCTAATATGAAGCAAAATTACCTATTTACACTGCAAGAGTCTAAATTATCCCACAATGAAGTTCGTATTAATGAAAAATCACAATATTTACTATAGAACAATGAACCCTACTTTACTTAGATCCTACTTTATGTAAGTTAAAGAAATTTAGAAAAAATAACCCAGAAACACAAGGTTCTAGACCCCAATTCTCACAAAGTATACTTAGCAATAAAAGTCTACATAATAATGTACCAAGTTATAATTTGAAAATATAAGTTTACATTTATTTGTAGAATATTTCTTCTAATGATAGTCATATATACACAAATGGCTTTGTACCTCAACAGGCTATTCTGGTTACTGGCAAACCAAAAAGTTAGGTCTTGTAGGTAACATAACAACTCGCTTCAGTAGGACAAGTAGAACAGAAACAGAATATGTTTTTAAAGAAAGTTTAGTTCCCAACTGGCTCCTCAAAATTCTCATTTAGAAACCATAAAGTCTTGGGACTTGCCTGGTGGCACAGTGTTTAAGAATCTGCCTGCCAATGCAGGGAACACGGGTTTGAGCCCCGGTCCAGGAAGATCCCACATGCCGCGGAGCAACTAAGTCCCTGCGCCACAACTACTGAAGCCCACGCGCTTAGAGCCAAGTGCTCCGCAACAAGAGGAGCCACCACAATGAGAAGCCCGCGCACCGCAATGAAGAGTAGCCCCCGCTCGCCGCAACTAGAGAAACCCCGCACACAACAACGAAGACCCAATGCAGCCAAAAAAAAAAAAAAAAAATTAATTAAAAAATAAAAACCATGAAGTCTTTTCTTCAAAAGCACACTACTGAGTTCTCTACAGCCAATCAATACACAGGATTACTAGATTTGGAAAACTGGAATGTTTGTTTGGTCCATTTCAACAGAAAATACAGAATTTTAAGCAATAGCACTACTTTTTCTCCTTAGCTGTCCTGCCCACTTTGAATATGAAGAACTCCTCACTAAATAAATATTATACAATGTTAGTATGAAGTAACATTTGGGAGAAACTTGCGAGTATTTTACATTTAATTGATTAACCAATAAAAGGAAAAAGACACTGTTCCCATTTTATGAGCTGAGTAAAATAGGACTTGAAATAACTTAGTGAAGTATACAGTTGGTACACAATAGAACCAGGATTCAAACTCAGGTCTTCTGAAAACCACTGCTTGACTCGGATCAAAGAATGACGACAAAAGATGGCGATCCAGTCAAGGATTTTAAGGTCAAATTTTTTTTAAGAAAAGGGATTGCATAATTGTCTCTGGATATGCAAAGAGCCAACCTGAAGACGTGTTTGAAAATTTGCAGTAATTGAGTTATTACCAACACCTATTCCTCTCCATTTGAGTGAGGATGTATACAGCACTAATATGAGCCTTTTTCTATGCCCACTCTGTATGTGAGGCAAATAACCTTCACAGGTCTGACGCTGTAAGTTCATTTAATCCGCAGACCTCTGTAAAATAATTAAACATTAGTTGAATTACTTTAACTCCGCCGTTCTATTTACTAAGTATATGTAAGGGACACAGAACAATTTCTTATCTTGATGAGCTTACAGTCTGGTAAAGGGAGATACAGTGAAATGTTATAGCTATTATGAAAAATGAACGAGGGTGGGCTTCCCTGGTGGCGCAGTGGTTGAGAGTCCGCCTGCCGATGCAGGCGACACGGGTTTGTGCCACGGTCTGAGAGGATCCCACATGCCGCGGAGCGGCTGGGCCCGTGAGCCATGGCCGCCAAGCCTGCGCGTCCAGAGCCTGTGCTCCGCAACGGGCGAGGCCACAATAGTAAGAGGCCCGCAGACCGCAAAAGAGTAAGGTACTAAAGAGGAGTTTTCACATATTATTAGCCTTTGCAGGAAAAACATAATAAACAACATAAACTGAAAAATTCACCCTTATGTAACAATAAAACAATACCCACTGCTTTAGTTCAAGATCTTACTTCAGATGGACCAAATATTTTACTTCAGATGGTTTTTGTATCTGATTCTGCTCAGGCTGCCAACAGTTACATTATTCACAGATACGGTACTTTCTTCTGTGGCTATGTATCATAGATTAGATGGAAGTTAATGTGGTTCTCAAAATAATTTCAACAATGTCTTTCTGCCAGCTCTGTTTACAATTTAAAAAAGTCAGGCACATAAATATCAGAAACAATATGTAACGAAGTTAGTTTCTCCTCACTGCATCAATTCTTCATGGAAATTTCCCTTAACATAGCACAAAATAACCAACAAAAGTTTAAAAACCACATAACAAGCAACACTGCCACCTTCTTTCAACGGTTTGTTTTTATCGGCATTTGTGCTTCCGCAGTATCTTGCCTTCGGAAAGAATAAGCTAGCACGTAGTTTTTAAGAACCAAGCATTTTTGTTCAACCATCAAGATTTCCTTACTATAATCCATCAAAATCCAATAGTAACTCTGTCATGAAACCTCAATTAGACGATCCACACCTTAGAGAGTCAGAAATCTAGTTCTGTGACACTGCCATCACTTTGACCTAAGAAGCACTCCAAAGCAAAATAATTTTGTTAACGTTTATTCTTCCAGCAAATCTGCGATTTATGGATTGTTATGCCACCACTAGCCCTACTGTTTTGGGTCACATCTGCATGCCACACTTAGGGTAGGCATACTAACAAAATATTATCTAATCAAACTGTGACATTCTGTCATAAAGATGCAGTCAAAAGCCAAAACAGAATGGTTGTTTCATTGATACACTTCATAGTAAGGATAATGATTAACCATTTACAAGCTGGCATCTAAACTTAGGTGCTTACTTACAAAACGTGCAGTTAAAACCTGCATTTTGTGTGAGTTTTTATAACTTTTGACTCATTCCTGAAAATTAACCTCCTCAGAAAACAAGTACATTTCAGAGACTAATGTTACTAAAGCAGAACTATGCTGTTATGGTATAAATATATTTTTTGCTCTTGTTAATCGGGAATATTTAAATAGTTCTGAAAATCAAATATTTGTTTTCAAAAGCAGAAAACTATTCCTTTATATTAAAAGGTTGCTGAAAAAATTAGCAAAGCATAGCCATAATCTGAAATACATACAAATAAAAAATGTTTCCTGAAAATAAAAGCAAATTAACAGCTGAAAAATTCTTCAGGATAAGCAATCTTCTATTTTGTGGAAAATTACTAACAAACTCCTCAATTATGCTTCACTTTGATTTACTATAGGTGCATTCCTTACCTTCTGGAAAGGAATAAATAAAATAACGAAGTCTCAAAAGTCAAGCAGAAAAACATTACACTGATTTAAAAGAATTGGTTTATTATGCACACCATCCAATTTTAAGTCTTAACTACCAACTCTTTTGTGCTTTATTAGTACAGACAACTAATTTTTATAATGAGACTATCTTAAAGCACTCTGAATCAAAGATGAGCTTTATTTGGTATAGATATGGCAAGGCATTTTACTGAATTCCTTGCTTTGAAAATTGGTGATCTATAATGGGAAAATTCTAGAAGTTGCAACTCTAAGTGCCTAAGTGGACCTGGTAGAAATTGTGGCAGACACACATTTTCTGAAGAAAGGAGGCAGCTGCTACTCCACCCCACACTTGTAGAAGGAGGGTCTAGTGAGAGGGTTTTTATGTTAAGATTATCAACGTGTAAAACACTGTGTGGGCCAGGACCTCCCTGGCGGTCAAGTGGTTAAGACTCCACGCTTCCGCTGCAGGGGGCACGGGTTTGGTCCCTGGTCAGGGCCAAAAAAAAAAAAAAACTTTGTATGGGCCAAACTGGGCGAGCCATGAGTTACTTAACTATATGTATTTAAGCGGGGGTGGGGCGGGGGCTGGGCGGGAATCACAATTTTGTCACCTATTAGACAAAAGCAAGCACTTAAAACAATAAAAATAGACCTTGAGGTAACTGGAAACAACCCTGACTCTGTAGTTTTTTCATTAGGATCTCAATCACAGACACATCTCAAATTGTTAAACTAAATATCCCCCCTCTATGTGATTTACAATCAGAACTGCTGAATAAACACTTGCTAAACCAACCCACCCACTAGCTAGCTTTTTTTCCCAAGGGCATTTCTTCTTTTAGAATTATAAATATCTACTTACTGACCATTATCTCACCTAGTACATTACTGCTAGTTATGTTGAGATTAAAATACCGAAAGGGGGAAGAAAGCAGAAAATTCAGTAACACACACACACACACACCCCTCAGAACAGAAATCCTTAGGTGCCTTCCACGTCAAAAAAAAATGTTAAGTATTGTTCAAGATACAGTCTTACCCCAGGATGTTTTACTGTGCTCTAATTCTGTGAAACTCTTAGATGGTATCCATAATTCTGAATATTCAATTATCCAGCACATACAGTTTCTTATCTACCCAGGATAGAAAGGAATTTTGCTGTATTCAAAATATCACTTTCTAAGGACTTCCCTGACGATGCAGTGGTTAAGACTCCACACTCCCAACGCAGGAGGCGCGGGTTCAATCCCTGGTCAGGGAACCAAGATCCCACACGCCGCATGGCATGGCCAAAATGAGATAAAACAAAATATCACTATCTACCTAAAAATATTCAAATTTTACATGAAACTGAAGTTCTATAAAAACTCAAATATCAAAATAATACAATTAAGCTAGATTTTAGGCAGCTACAAGAAGAGAGTAAGATCTTTGAGTAATATCATGGTACAGCCAGAAAACTAATGGGCTATAAGTCAGGAAGCTCTGTGACAATACTTTACATTGCTATGAAAGAAAATTAGAATGGAAGAGATATTTGATAGGTCATAGAAAAGCTATACATACTCTAGAACCTGAACACAGGGACAGACACTTACAGTATACTTAACTAATGGCCAATTGTTTCTTTCAAAAGCAGTGCAACAACTATGGCATATCTCAAATAAAATTACAATGTAATAAAATAAAGCTAAAGGCTTAATTAAAAATTACTAACTACATCAATGCTGGATTTTCATTAAAAGCAAAAACTTAATTCTCAGTACTTACAGGTCCCATAATTGTGGCTTGCCAATGAAACACTAGAAAAAGAAAACACTCTTGTTATTATCTAAAAATACACAAGCTTTTTTGAAACTAACCATAAAAATCAACTTGAAAATTACTTACTATCATCCCCAACTGGACCTGCAGAACATTGTGCTGGAGGGTCACGGGCCAAATCACTAAGTTCCTACACCAAGACAGAAAATGCTGGATCATGTAACCATAATAGAAAACACAAGCAAGTAAAGACAGTCATCTGCTTCCAGTTATTTTTACACCATTCTTTAAGGGACATATAATCACAACTTACATCAACAATACATTCTATTGGAAAGAAAACATAAGTAACCCTAATCCAGTTTCTGGGACACACTAGGCACAGTTATTTTATGGATACATACCAAGACAATCATCTCGGCCAGGGGTTCATAAAAGCACACACACACATCGCTATGAAGTTTTACTGCAGGCATACACCTCACTTTCCCATGCTTCACAGATACGCGGTGGGGGGGGGTTGTTTTGTTAAAACAAATGGAAGGTCTGCGGCTACCTGTGCCATCTTCCTAACAGCACCTGCTCACTTTGTGTCTTTGTATCCTATTTTGATAATTTCTGTAATATTTCAAACCCTCTACCAGTAAAGAAAGATTACAACTTGCTGAAGATCCAGACGATGTTTTTTAGTAATAAAGTATTTTTAAATTAAGGTACATTTTTAAAGACATAATGTTATTGCACACTTAATAGACTACAGTAGTGTAAACGTTAACTTTTATACGCACTGGGGAAAAAAATGTGACTTGCTTTATTGTGATATTTGCTTTATTTGGGTGGTCTGGAACCAAACCCTCAATATCTTTGAGGTGTGCCTGTACATGAACAAAAGCTGTCCTCTTACAAAATGAAAAAGTTGTAATCAGACACTTTCCTAGGTTAAGAACTTAGGGCAGTTATCAACATTCAGGTTATTTGCTGAGCTTTCAGACCATCTCAGAGGCTCTATCTTAAATACTGTCTGCTGTCTTAAATACTCTTTTTCTGAACCACACTACCCAGTGACCACATTTTCTCCTTAAAAAAATCTCTCATGGGGCTAGGTAAGTACCCCTTTTGGTTTGATCTCCTTATCCCTCAATTCAACCTTATCTTTTACTCAACATTGAGTATATCTCTGGAAAAACCTTCCTCTCCAGGTAGAAAAGCACTGTGCTTTTTTTGCTAAGAAGCAAAACAAGCAGTATCCACAATTCCATTTGACCTTATATTTCCAACATAGTGTAATTTAGCCCTTCCATGACTTGTGCATAACCCATATGGATAATCTAGTAAGAAAACAGAGTTGCTTCTTTACAAGTTTAAAAAAATTAATGATACAGCTTTATCTCTATATACCTATATATAAATTCCTACAGTACAGGGATTTATAGACCTTTGAGATAATAATGGACTTCTAAGAAAAAGGCAGGGAATACACTGCAGGAAGACAGATCAAATATTTGCCTTTACTATGGGCAAAATAATGCACTTCAGAAAACAGCCAATTGTTCAGGAATATCAGTCTAGATTCACTCCATTAAAAAAAAAAGATCAATGCAGAAGAACTGTTCTTGAGGGGTAATCATTTTGCAATATACATATATCAAATTATTATGTTGCACATCTATTACGTTATATCTCAAAAACAAAACTGGGACAAAGGAGTGCCTTGACATACACTTTGCCAATTTGCTTCTGAATCTCAAACTATGACTGCTTATAAGGTTATCAAGGCAGCCAGGGAATCCCAGGAGTCACAATCTTAAGATGACTGGAAGATCAGATCAGGCTTTTATGCTTGCCCATGTAACTATACCTCATTTGTTCAACGTATTTAAAGAAAGGGGGAAAACTCATTCCAGACACTTAGATTCTGATCAGTACTAATTACAGAAGCTCTTATCCCAGAGTTAAGCAACTAGTTAAAAGAAACTGAAACTATGTACAGCTTTAGCTTAGAACTGAATCATAGTTTTTTGAGTAAAAAAAATATACTGGCAGCTTGAACTAATCAACTATCCAAATGACTTTTTCATAGGCCAGATCAACTCTCATAAAGCATTTATTTGCATTCCATGATCAGCCACTTTATTATAATGGCAAGCTACTTCAATACCATCTCAAGGTATATACTTTATTGCAGATAAGGATTGAGCATAGTCTAACTGATATGAAGAGAACTTTTTTCCATGTTCCAAAACTTATTTAACAAGTTCTGTTGTTTAAATGATCCACCAAAAAAAGATAAACCAGAAGCTAACTTATGCAGGCTAACTTCCTCTGCCGGAACATAAGGGTCCAAAGAAGTCTATTTTAAGATTAAAAACTTACCTGTTCCAAACCACTCTCTCCCCTTTCCTACACAACAATAAAGATGTGAATTTTCAAAAATGCTACTAAAACCAAACATAAACTTGAGCATACAATTCAAATGCTCAAATATAGCATCATGAAATGAGGACAATGAATATGCACCTCCCTCAATATGGATCATCAGTCTGGAGTCTCACTTTTAATCCAATTTAGACCCACTATTTCCTAGGCTTATTTCCACATCTCTAAAACACAATAGAAATGCCTGTTGTTACAGAACTTTTGAAAGAATGAATAAGATAAAGTACTTCAGCACACTATCTGGCATATAATGTATTAGGTGCTCAGCAAGTGGAACACCCACCTTGAAGGCAAGATTTCCTAGACAGACACTCAAATCATTTGTTTACTAAACAAAAGCAAAACTGCTTTATAAATAGGCTACTTATTATAGCCTTAGCTTATTTAAATCTTTTGCCTATGTGATGAATTTTTATGCTCAGTTGTCTATAACATACTCTTCTAACAATTATATGGCTCGTGCTATGATATACGTTAATAATACAAGGTCAGCAATTCGAGGGCTATTTGTGGATAGGCTTTTAAAGAAACCATGTTATTGTGTGGTTGTATGAAATTACTAATACTTGACCATTTCTGAACTGCAATTTCATGTGGTTCTACCTAAAACTGTCAGGTAAGCATGTGAACTCAAATATTACTAAAATGAGTTTCTTACACGGATCTACCCCAAATTTATGTACTTTTCTGTACTTACACACTTTTACATATGTTAATGATAAGAAAAATATCTAGCATTTTTAAATTAAAAAGTAATTTAATGATGGGTGGTCTAACAAAATACCCAAGTGATGCTGAAACAACTTCATAAACTTCAGGAATCTATAAAGCTGACCTAGAATATATCAACATCCTACTTCGAAGTTCCACATTTTATGAAAAATCTAAGAAAACATTTTTTAACGAGTCTTCCTGCACATGGACATCTCTGAATCACTCAGCCTCTATATGCTGACATTTTCACTCCTCTACAGTGAATGTACAATTTCAGAGAGCACTGAATTTAAGCTCTTCACTCCCATAACTTCAGGATCTTATTCCCCTCAGATAATTTCTAAATGCCTTATTTTCCAAGTTCTCTGTGACTAAGACACCTCTTAAGTAATACTCAAAGATCTAATATTCAGCCAAGTGTGTACCAAAATCGACTTTAAAGCCAACATAAAAAAATGACCTAAAGTAATTTTAAGAATCAAAATATCTTTTAAATCATATACCAGCACTTACCTCAAAGATGCCAACTAACTCTCATGACATTATTATGTCCATAGCAGAAGCAAGTAAGATGTAAGAATATCTTAGCAGTGAAAATATATGAGAAAAAGCATAATAAGTCATCTCAGATGCTCTTCCATGCACCACTGTCTACTCAAACCCTCTTCTCCTACTTTCCTGGAAATGCTTTTCTCATACTCCACAGGTATGACTATAGTGTTGGGGTGACTGTCAGCCACCATTAACCAACTACTCAGAAAGGGTAATCAGAGAATTTTGTTCCATCTATCCCTACCCAAGATTTTCAAATTGAAGCTGGAAAGGACACTTTTTCCTTCTCTAATCAGGAGCTGTAAGGATGTGACCCAGAGCTACTGGCAGGCATATGCCCTGAAATTACATGGTGAGTCCAAAGAAAAAGAGGCCACATTGGGCAGCAGAGATAAAGAACTAACTTGGCATACAGACACACAATTTCAGTTCCTGAGGTTGTAGCTTGCTCTAATTCCTACAGTTACTGCTTTGATTGTTAACCACTCCAGTTTTCTTCAAGGGGCGGGGGCAGCAAACACAGAGTAAGGAGAGATCCACTCTAAGCAGAGTGCTACCTGGGCCCCATTACCAATTATACACATTTTAATCCACGAAATGTGTTGCTTTAATCTTGCTGTAAAACATGTAAGAAATATAAATGAAGCGAAGTCTCAAAAGGAAACTAGAGGAAGCAGGGAGAAATCATGTGGCTTACCTAGTAAAAAGTTAAACTTTCAATAATAGGAACTAAAGATTAACTTAAATCCATTTCTAAAATAAAAAGTGTAATATCAGCTCAAGTTTCACCCAACAAAGCATTTATTCATTTATATGAAGACTACCTTTTTTGGTGTCAAGCATGTTAGGTCTGAAAATACCAAGATAGAAAAGATAGAACATGAATGCCTCCCTCAACAGACTGAGCTAAAAAAAAGTGCAGACATAATACAAAACCAAAAAATTATATTGCAAACAACCTGAGTGCTTAAAGTAAAGGCATTCAACTGCTTTGTGAATCCTGAAAAGGTTATCACTAACCTTGCCTGGGTTTAAAACAGTGACATTTGAACTGGGTCTTGATGGAAGGATAAGCATTCAAGGTAGAGAAACTAATTCAAAACCAGGGGTGTGAAAGAAAACAGGCTGTAAAAACTTGCTTGTAGTTTGGTATACCAGAGACACAACAGGGTACTGGTAAGGGAGTAGCAGATGTGGCTAGAAAGGTTAATCAGGGCTGGATCTTTTGAGAGTCTTGAATATTATGGCAAAGACTATTCCACAGCCAATGGGAAGTCACTGATTTTTAAGCAGGAATAGTTTTCAAGTACGAGTAAGACAAATGAGATTTGGATTTTTTGATGTACTAGCAGTAGTACACTAGGAGTGATTGACTTTTTAAATTATTAATCCTAAAAGCAGTCATGTATCTGTGTACCTAGCTTAACATTACATTTTTACTATACCTCTTTCAGATTTTAAGTTTTGCAGATATAACAGAAGATCTCT